GAACCACTATGACATGACTTTTGAAAAGTGTCTGTGTTCATCCCCATTCTCCTGCTTTAACCACACTGAGCAGGAACCCCCCTTTGAAACACTCAGGAACAGCTGAGAAAGAGAGAGCAAAGTGTGACTTCACCCTCCCAGAGGCAATCAAGTCTTGGCATAACCCTGCCCTGTGGATTCTAATGTGTTTTAAATATAGCCCATAAGTCCATGCTTGGAGCAGGTGCCCAGGTTTCAGTGTCAGCTTTGCAGGGTCCTGGGTGGTGGGCGAAGAGCACAGCCCCCATCGAGGCAAGGGGGAGCACCTGAAAGCCATTCTTGTCCACATTCCTGTTGTACCAATTCCTCACATCCCCTCTGCCTCCCCAAAAACCCCTCAATCCCCTTCAGATGAGCATCAGCCAAACCAGCCAGAGCAGAGGCTGGAGCTGCAGTTGATGGACCTGCTCCAGCTGGAAGTAACTTGCTGCCAATTTACCACAAGGCAAAAAAGTGCCATAAATCAGAATTTCAGGTGTGCAGAGGATACCCTGCCTCAGAACAGCTCATTGAAACCCTATCAGTAAGCCCAAGAAACACAAGTTTACATAGCGCTTGGAACAGGCTTGGGTAAGTAACCAATACCAAGTCAAGCTTTAAATCATCCTCAGCTACCTAGGGAAGAGCCCCACAGTCTCTATCCCTGTTGGTATCCAACGAAAGGCAGCCCCAGTAGTCCCACACAGCCAGGCAGGAGGCTGCATCTTTGAACAAGGAAGAGGGGAAACTAGCTCTTGCCAGGGAAACAGCAGCAGCCACCATGAAGTCAGGCTTCCACAATGTGCCTTGGGTATTATTAGGTCCCTGGCTTATGTCAAGCGCTCGGGTTATGCTGCTGTGTCCAAAGCCCTTTAATCAGACACTACAACTCCAGTTAAACACAGTGCCAGCCCTCCCCTCTCATCCCTTCCAATCCTATATGAGCTATTTTGCCTCACTGACCTGCACTGATTTAAGAGACAGGGTTATCAGGAGCACTGCTGCACGGGGACTTTCACAACCAACACTGAAGTTCCCTGGCAACCACAGGAAGCCCCACAGAGCTCCCAACCCTCCTTTCCCCAGGAGCTTAGGACAAGTTTACCACTGCTTTCCTCTCCAGGAGATGGAGGAAAGCTCCCTCCAGAGCACAGTGGGTGAGGACAGCCTTTTGCTCCAGCTTCTTGGTTTACATGGGTTTTAATACATTAACGGGACTCTTCGGGAGCAGGCTGCACCAGACCCAGTACTTTGGCACATGCTCATCCACCAACATGGGGGGATCAGCCCAATTGCAAAATGCTGCTGAATCCTTACTGATGATGATTCCCCCTGGTCCTAGGCAGTCTGCACATCATGCCAGGCTGGCCAATGAGTCCAGCTCCAGGTGGGAGCAGCCCAAAGGAATCCGTCTCCCTGGCCAGAGACAATTGCTAACCACACAGCACGCAGTGCAGCTCATTGTTGCCATCAGAACTGAAAAACAAGCTGCCATTTCTCAGCAAACCCCCCAAATCCAGCAGCACAAAGTGAAGCTGACTGTTCCATTAACTCCCATCCTGCATCAGCAATTCTCTAAAGTGTGGAAACATTATAATTGACTTTTCTGCTAGTAGCAAAATGTCATTTTTCCTTAATACTTCCTAAGTCAGTAATGCATTTCAAAAGCCTCCGATGCCACTACTACAACAGGACTTACAAATTAGCACATTTTTAGCTTTTCATTAAACACAATACCAAAAAAAAAGAAAGTCTCATCATATTAAGGGTTTCTCTCCTCATTATCCAAAGTACTGCGACTTTGGAACTTCGAGCAGCAAATTATAATGCACTCAGCCTGGCTCCATTGTAAATGAGGGCTTCAAAAAAGGTGTCATGTAGTCGGGCCCTCTTTAAGCACTGAAAATATTGGAGTCTATTTGAAAACGCCTTATGTAGTCTCTCACTAGCCTTGCAAATCATCACAGCACCGGGTAGAGCTGCCTTTTATTTTTTGCCTCATGGCATCAAGCCATTTCTATTCCAACCAGAAAAAGAGGATTATTTCTTGCTGGGATTTCAAGGAATAAAACCCCTGTACCTAAGCTAACAAGCTGCATAAAATCCCCAAATCCTTCAGGGCTCTTATTCAGCTCCACACAGCATCCATGGGGCTGGCCCCTTCAAAGGGGAGGGGGTTTTTCCAGCCAAGGATGCTTTCCGGAGGCCACTGGTAAAACGCAGTGCAATCAAAGGCACAGTGCCTGCAGCTCATACCCAAGCTCTGTGCTGAAGAGCTGACACCCTGGGAGGATGCTGCAGAAGAGGGGATGTTTCTTTAGCAGAGCAAACAAGCTCCAGCCCATTCTTCCATGCCAAAAGCATCAATCACAGGCTGGGGTTACAGATAGGGGATATAACAGGGGATGTGCCAGCAGGGGAGCAGGGAAAGGCTCACATTCTTCTCCTGAAACCCCCCTGGAGCATCCAGGCTCTGCTCCCACTGCCCAGAAGCCTTAAGGCCAAAAGATGGGAGATGCAGACTCCACACTTCGATTCCCACTCCTCTGGAAAAAGACTGAACTCATCCCTAATCCCCTCTGCACGACTCCAAACAAAGCCAATGCTGCCCAGGTTCCCACAGGTGGGACACCCCTCTCCTTAAACATGCTTATACTTTAAGTTACTCGAAATAGCAATAAAGTCATCATTGAGAAGAAAGGTAAGTGAACCCAGAAGCAAAGGGGCAGAGGCATGGAATAAGGCCATTTGCTTCAGCTGTTGCAAGGCAGCAGCAAGATAAAGGACATTTCCTAATGGCCTCTTCCAGCTCTCTTACTTTAGGCTCCTCTCCTGCCTCAGTTTCCCCCAAAACATGACTATGCAACCAGCAGCAATGCAAGGATTGACACAAACACTGAGAAGAGATGAAGGACATCTCTCAATACAGGTTCACATAAATGAGAAACACCAACAAAGCTCAATGTAAGCAACAGAGGGCAAGGAACTGAACAAGGAGAACCTGCAAATGAGAGCTAAATACCAGCACCACAGCAAAAGCAAACACAAGGAAATTACCTTCTTTCCACTAAGGAATCGCAGGAACACAGTTGATGCGTGGACACCAGGCAGGAAAAGGACTTCAAGCACTGCTTTGCCCATTATAACCCCATAAACACCCACCCACAGCCCATAGCCAACCACCAAACTCTCAGAGGCTCAGGGCTGAGGCTTTTATCTGCTCAGTGAATCACCTGCAAATGGGAAGCACTTGCCGGCACAGCAGGAGGAACTCAGGTGCTGGAATGGGTCGTTGGTAAAGCCAAAGGGACATGAAGCCTGGGGAAGGCCCCATCCTTTTCCTCTGTGGGGTGTCCAGGGTAAGATTCCAGTGTACACATCAGGCTCTCCCAGCATCTCGGCTGGTTGGAACCTTTCCTAGAGGTTTCCATCCACATTTCAGGGCAATAGGTTCTTTCAGCAGAGGACCAGAGGTGCTGGTTTTCAATTCCAGGCACATCATTATTTGACCTAGCTCCTGGAATCTATATCACACAAGGAAAAAACACCTAGCCTGCCCACCCAAAGGCTCCTTCATGGAGTGGGACTTGTGCTTCTTAAGTAAAAAAACCTCAGGATCAGAGTCCAGGAATTAAAGGAAACAAGATGAAGGGGAAAGAAAATGGGCTGAAACAAGAGGAAAACCACCCTGGTTGGGTTTGGAGACTATTTAGAAAACAAGGGAAAATCTTGGCATCAGCCATTGAAGACAGGATACAGAATGATGGGCAGTCGAGTGAGAGCTTGAGGAGAGGTTAAGGGCTGGGTGCAACCCTGACCTCTTGTTAGGAGTAACTGGAGCTGTGAATAGACAGGAGGAGATGAAATCAGCACAAAATCTAGCCAAGTTACACCCATGAATCCTCTAAACAAAGGTGCATCTGAGAGATGGCTCCATCCCAAAAGCTCAGGAAAAGCCTCTCAGGCAGTGCCCACGATGGGCAGGGAGGGATGTTCAAAATGACTGGAATGTGGGGTCTTAGTGACAGTATTTCCAAGCCTAATGGAAAGGTGGTGGCTCCCCATCCCACCACCTCTGTCAGCCTAAGAGCACCTGGTGGGAGCAACCCCTCCTCTCCCATTGGAGTGGGTTGGAGGTGCCAACTCCTGTCCTAAGAACCTACCCCATCCTTCCATCCTCTTCCTCAGCCTATCCAGGAGATGCCTCCATCCCTGAGCCAAGATCAAGCTCATGGCAGGGGATTGGAACGGGATGATGTTAAGACCCTTTCCAACCCCAACCACTCTGTGATTCAATGCTTCTGGGGTGTTGCTGCAACACCAATGATGTGCCATCCCCCTGGCAAGCAATGTATCCCTCTCTGCCTGCTTAGGAAGCCCTCTTGGGGGGGATGTCAGCATGATAGATGGTCCCATCACCAGCACTGGCCCCCAAGAACCGGCAGCCTCATCCCAGCAACCTGTAATTTCAGAGGCGGTGCTCCCAGCCCATAGCCCACCGGTGATGGGGAGAGGTGGGAATGACAGGAATGAAGCAGGCAAACCAGATGGCTCTCTCGTTAAAGTGCAGCTGCACCAAGGAGAGGTCACAGCTGTAATGAATCGGGCCGAGTCCCCACTAATTAACACTGACAAGCGAGGTTCAGATGTGCCCAGTAGTAAGGAATAAATCAGTGCCCCAGAAATGGATGCAGCCAATGAGGGATGGATGAGTTTGTTCTTCTCTGTCCCAGAGGGCAAGCAATTATCTCCATAACTTTCTAGTTAGGGTGCATTTGGGAAGCACATTTTCCAATGCACAAATACCTTCCTTCCACAACTCCAATACTCCTTCAGGTGTCAAAAGCTAATCTTGCTCAGGAGCAAAACAGCATGGGTAGGAAACAGAGCAAAGGGCTCGTATAAGCTCATGGTGCCATTCAGCTCCTCTGTTTCTACCTCTTGTAGCATTCTGGTAAAGCAAAGCCTGTTGAATGGCAGCGATGCTTCTGGTGGAGACCCAGCTAAGGAACAGGGTGAATCTGCTTCAGTTCCCATGGGTGGCAAAAGGGCTGGTGTTGGAGTCCTAAGGTACCTAATGCTGGATCCTCGCCTTTATAGGTAGCCAGCCTGCAAGAGGTGGTATTGAATCATGGCACATCACAGCCCTGGCGTCTCCCATCCCAGGAGATGGTCCTGCATTATGGACCTTAATCCCTTCCAATTCCCTCCTTCCCTTTCCTCCCCCTGCAATCACAGCCTCTCTCCTCCTCCTCCTATAGGTGTTTACATTGAAGCTGGCCAACTTAGGGTATCAAAGATCGAGATGGGCAGCAGAAAAAGAGATATTACATAGCAAATCCAGCACCATGGCTTTGGCACATGGGGACACCAGCTCTTGCACTGCTCACATGAAGGGGTTTAAACCCCCTTGGGTGAGTTCGGGCAACCCTTAAAAGCAAACACCACCCTCAACCCATCACTACCCACTACTACTGAGAGCTTCATGTCTGCACCCACTCGTGTCACCCACCAAGAGCATTTTGCAACCCAGAGCAGCATAGGCACTGCAGCCCAGCACCTGCCTTTGCCAAGGGGGCTCTACCAGCACCGTAGGATAAGGAAGGGAGAAATGAAACCAAAGACCCACAGCCTTTACAGCCCCCAGAGCACAACCTCAGGAGTATCTGCTAATAATAACCCATCCCCTTGCCGCTGCAGACGACGGGTGAGCTGATAAAGAGCAAACACCATCACCCAGCCTCCTCCTGTCAGGGAGCACGTGATGGAGGCCAGCCCGAGATGGTTTCCAGGCTGGCAACAGGGCGACATCCCATGAGTGCATTAAATAATTGGACAGGCTCTTCCCCGCCTTTCAAAGGGGATGCGCTCCAGGACTGGATTCCCAGGGGATAACTCACACAGCTGCAATTCTCCAGCGGGGAGGGGGGAGAGAGAAAGCCTGGTATTTTTAGTTAAGCTAGGAGCTATAGGGGTTTGATTCCTATAACTGATGGGAAAAGGCAGGGGTGGGGAGGGAAAAGCCTAGTTGTGAGAACTGGAAAGGGTGTTTTGTTTATAATTGAATTAAATTGCAACAAAGGGCCGCTACAAACCAGCACTACACAGCATCTTCCTGTGTTATATGAAGCTGTTAAAGGAAAATGTTTCAGCACTGTTTAAATATTATCTAATTTCCAATAAAGCCTGGGCAAAATCAATGCACTTCAGGATGGGTTTTTACTTCCCTGGGCAGCAGCTTTGGAATGAGACACACACACACCCACCCCAGCACAGACGTTTTGTCTTGGTGGCATTAATCCTGCGTCTCAGCAGACACATAACTGGGCAGCGCTGTCACATGGAGCAGGGGGAGTGCTGGGAATATAAGCGTGGGGACGTTTTGGCAGCAGGGTGGCACCTGGCTCTGAGAGAGGAGATCCCAAACCTCCCACCCCATGCTGGTACCCAGGGGGAAGAGCAAGCATCGCCCTCAGAGCTGCTCTCACCATCCAAGGTAAGCTTGGGCAGCGGTTGGTGGCATCGCCATCCTGCCTGCCCCACTCTGGGTCCCCCCCATGGGCACAGCATCCAGCTCATTGTGAGGGGTAAAAGTGGGTGCAAGCTCTAGGTCAGTAACACATTGCAACCCGTGAGCAGCTGGAGGAGGCAGTACCACTGCCTGCCAGCCCCTGGGCTCCTTCACCCTGCTGGAGATATCCCTGGAAAGCATGGAAACGTTAAAACGATGCAATTCCCTGCTGCCAGAGGGCAGCTGTAAATCACAGCGGCCATCCCAGGAGCTCCGCACCAGCACATCTGGACTCACCGGATTTGCTAAGGCAGCTCCATGGGGCTGTTTCTAAGCAGCAGGGCAGGTTATTACAGGCTGGAATCTCCCCAGTGTGAGCACTAAGTTGTTATGTGGCAGCTGAACTTGGGGAGCAAGCTCACGCTGAAGTAATTTTGCTTCTCTGTATCGTGCTCTTTCATGTGCCAGGAATGAGTTTTCCTCGTAATGCAAAGCCAGCGCAGACAATTTAAGTCATTATTAATAGATACACTTGATCTGAGGAAGTAAAATGCTTAATGTTTTGTTAAATGAGGTGTACTCTGCAAACAGTCATATGTAGGGAGAAGGTTAAGATGTTCCCCCCACGTTAGAGATTAATGGGTGTGAGGCTACTGTTAATGAAGTGCTCATCCTCGCCAATGTTTGGGACCTGAGTCTGTGTAGGAACGGCTCTTACTGAAGCAAGGACACACAAGGATGATCCCAAGCATAACCAGTTGCAGGATCAGGACCTCAGGATCCTGAGGAATGGGGACTGGAATGCTGGGAGATGTGCTCAACGCCATGCAGCACGGCGCTGGCAGAGGAGGGGGTTAGGGCTGCTGGGCCCCAGCCTTACTCCACCACCCAAAATCACGGCCCTAAAGGTGACAAGTAGCTTATAACCAGCTGAAGCCCCCCTCAGTTTACCCTTCAAAACCCAACCAGTCCCCTTCTGGCCAGCCCCAGGTTGCTCTGCAGGTGTCCTGTCTGCCAGCTCCTCACTGCAGTAAATCACTGCCTGTACAGCAGCATTCCCCTTCTAAACACAGAAACACCGATTCATCCTGACATCACTGCCCACTCACCGGTGGAAAAAGCACTTGACTTGGCTGGCAGGAGCTCAGGCTCCTGCATTTCCATGTGCCACTCAGTTACAAGAGGACATTTTCTTTCTGCTCTTGCTGGCCCTGGCTATTTTTCACCCCTTCTTTCAGTGATGCTGTTAATCCTGTCATTACCGTGACCCAAGGAGTGAGTGTTATATGCAAATCAACACTGATTAAAAGGCTCGCGAGAAGGGGTCACAGGGTATTTCAACACACTCTCAACAGCAGCTCAGTGCCAGGCACACATACATGCACTAACAAAATTAGCCCGCATCTGACCAAGCAGATCTAGACTCCCTGGCTGCAGAGCAGGAGGTGGTCCATGCTGTGGGAAGGTGATTCCCACATGAAGGCAAGCTTCTCGTGGAGACATTACAGGATTGCTAATTAGCAGAGAGGGAAAGTGAGCCAGGGCTGCGGAAAGATGACCCAGGACAAGTTCCTGGGAGAAGCAACTCTCATCCATGCTGCTCTGTAGATCTCTAAACCACCTCCTGTGCTGGCTAAGGGACCCCAGGGGATAAGGAGGCTCTTTTTCATACCAGAGCAGTGCTTTGAGAAGGTGGTTCGGTTTACAGCATAAGGGTGAACAGGCACAGAGAGGCTGGAGGCAGCAGAATAGCAACACATGGTGAAAGAAGAGAGAAAGACAAGGGGATTTGGAGTTTACAAACCAATCGATAAGGGAAGGCCAGCCTTGAGTTCAAAGCAGAGAAAGAAAACCACCTAGGCTGACCTCAAATTAGCTCCCTCTGCCGATACAGGTGAACAAGAACCTCAAAGCAGGGCTCCTTTACACAGGGATGTCAAGCCAGACCCCCCTGGCTCAGCACAACCCCATCCTGAGTGGACACACTGTGATTTTACTGTGGTTCCATGCCCTTCCCATGGTCTTCAGGCCAGCGGTTGGATGCCACCACAGCTATGCTGGAGAAACCCATAGAGAAACCTCAGATGACTCCTGCAGGGTTGGCACAAGGATGCTCACAGTGGCCTGCAGGAGCCCAGCAAGGTCCCTGTTGGCAGGGAGCTACGGAGAAGGTCCCAGACATCTCTTCCAGCCTCAGGTTGACTCCACAAAAGCACTTCAGCAGTGCCTCCACGTCCGTTCTGCTTTGATGCAGTTTAACATCCTCCCAGGATCCTCTTTGGTGATGTTTATTCTCCGGGTAGGGGGATGTAAGAGCTGAAGGGGGGGATCGTGTCACCCAGAGCCTCCAAGTCACGAGATGCCGAGGTCTATTCTCGTCCCCACCGTGCACTTCTCCCATGACCTTGAGGAAAGGAGCCACAAGCCTCAGGGCAGCAGGAGCTGGGGACGCTCTGCTGGCATCCATCCCTGTGCTTAAATGGCAGCAGAGGCTTTCTCTCTCCTATACAAGGCACAAGCAGGGAAAACGGCTCCCCCTGCCAAAGCCCCAGAGGGATTTGTACCTCGCTGGCCTTGCCAAGTGCTTTGCATCCCTGCAGGGATGCACCGGCATGTGGTATTGGCCACTAATGTAAAGCTCTGATTTGCCTCTACAGTAGCCATGAGGCTGGAAACAGGCAAAAGCGCCTTAAAGAAAAAGAAATACAGTGTTAGGCAGACCCCTCCCCCCCCGACTTTTTCCAGTGCTCAGAGCACACAGTAAGGTTATATGGCACTGGGCATGCAGGACGTGACTAAGGTTCTTCTTTTCTGTTGTTTTTTACCCCCTAAATGGCACTGTTTTCCCCCCCCCAGCCTAAACATCCATGTCCCACGCTGCTGCCTGCAATTACATCGGTGATTTAATCCAAGAGGTACTGCCACAGCACAGCCCAGTGACCGTCTGACCCTCATTGTATCACATACCCATTATCATCTGACCCCGGTGGAGTTATAAATACAACAACAATAGAGACCTAACTGGATTATAATTAGAAAATGAGCCCAGGAGGATGGAAACAATGAACTATAAAAGCCCATCTACCCTCCCAGCTAGGACCTACACACACGGGAAGCACCGGAATGGGCGAGTTACCAGGACCTGTAACAGAAAAGCTACAGATTTCCCCCAAATTGGATTTGGAACATCCTCTAACAGCTCACGCTCCCGCCACCAAGTATTACACAGCCCTGGTCACGGGAGACCTGCAAAGCCTCGAGGTGCTGACTGACCAGTACTATCAGGATGTGAACCTGGTTTTTGAGATCAGTAAAGATGAGCTGGAGTGGCAGGTGAAAAGCCAAGCATCTTATGGACTCTCAGGTACTTCTCCCTTAAAGGCCAGAAACATTAAATAAAGCCAGGTATTTACTAACCTTAAGTAAGAGTGTTGCAGTGCTGCTTTTATAGCACCTGCTCCTCAGGTGGCTGGTTCCTGTTAGCTGACTGCGCCCTGCAGCCCTACCCATAAATATCCAGCACTTCCTTTCACTATTGTACTCTCTTCTGCACATACTAACCCACCAGAAGGGCAGGGAGGTGTAAAATGTGTGTGTACACAGGATCCCATTCAGGCTGGGTTGGGGCACTGTGTGGCTTAGGCATGCTTGCAAGAGGGATCATAGCCCAGATTCTCTATGCAGGGGCTCAGAAAGGGCAGCCTGGTCCTATCTGAAAGGAATAACATGCTCCCAGCTTAGTGGTACCTGGTGCCGCTCAACCCCAGATGCTCTCCATGGTCACCAGGTGCTCACCGAGCACTGTGCATCTACCGATGGTGCTGGAGGTGATGGGAAAGGCACCTTGCTCCAGCTAAGCCCAAAACCAGCATCCCTTTCCCAGCCCTGCATGCTCCCAACTCGGGTGCCTTCAGGCCCAGCCCAGTCTCAGCAAAGACAGGTTTTTTTTCCCTCACCTGGTGCCGATGGGGTATTTCGGAGCTGCCTTTTAGCTCCTGCCAGCAGGGTCTTGCACACAGGGTCCCCTACCCAGCCGATTACAGGCAGGATATTGGTTTACCCACCTCATGCTGTTTGAAATCCTGCTCCTGGATGCGCAGGCACCAGGGGGGTGTTCCCCTTCCTCTCTTGCCAGCAGCTCTTGGAGCAGCCACCAGGCTCTTTGTAACACCGAGGGAGCTGGAGGAGCGCACGGCAGCGGCGGGGTGCGGATGCTGTGCATCCCCAGGCCCGGTGCCCGGCAGGGAGCTCCGCGGCTCACCCGTCCCCGCTCGCGTGTCCCCGCAGGGCTGTGGTCGCTGGAGTACAAACGGGAGCTGAGCACCCCGCTGTGCCTCGCCGCCCGCCGCGGCCACGCCGCCGTCCTGCGCCACCTCCTCCGCCGTCGGGCAGACCCCGACCTGGCGCCGGGCGGCCTCGGGCCCCTGCACGAAGCCTGTCTCGGGGCTCACACGGAGTGCGCCGCGCTGCTGCTGCAGCACAGGGCTGACCCCAACCTGCGGAGCGACCAGGGGCTGGCCCCGCTGCACCTCTGCACCACGCGGGACTCGCTGGGGTAAGGAGAGGGGCCCCCGCAGCATCCCCCGCTCCCGCTGATGACCGCGCATCCCCTGCAGGCACACCTCAGCGTTTTGCCTCTGTGGGGTGCAAAACCGGATGTTGTGGTCCCTGGCAGGGTTCCTGTGTGCTCCTGCACCTCCCGGTTGCAGCAGCCGCTGCAGCATGCTCAGTGCACATAAAAAGGGGGCATTTCAGTGCTGGGAGCATTGCATGGCCCAGGCCTTCTTCCCACAGACAGGAGCAGCCCAGCCTGGCTCCATGCGCTTTTGCTTCCTTCTCTCTTCTGATGAATTATCCTAAAATCACTGTGTCCTGCATCCCTGGTCCAGCATACTTTCCTCTGGGAGATGCTCAGAATGGGTACAGTCACAGGGTCACCCTAACCTCCTGTGCTCCTCAGCCCATGCCAACCCCATCCACAAGGCATGTCAGTGCCAAACAAGGTTCCCACTCTCCTAAAATCCCAGCCCTAGGGCCATAGCAAAGGTATGGGGTCTGCAGGATGGGGAACAACCCTCCCATCTCCTTACCTCACACAAGTTACAGATGGATCCAGCTTGGTTTATAGCTGGAGTTAAGGCTTGGCCACGTACATCTGCTCCCTTCTCACCCTGGATCAGCATCACACAGAGATGAACATAAGCATTGCCTGGAAAACTAAGCTTTGCATGTATGTCTTGGTAAGACTTTAAGTGCCCAAGGAAATTGGATTTGTATAGCTTAACTACAAGGAGGTGGTGAATTCAAGGTTCCCACTATGGATCCCATGTACCATGGGCCAGGTGCCAGGCAAATTGCTCTGCAAAAGAAAAGCAGCCAGAGAGGAAAAGGCTTTTAGATGTAAATACCTTGAGCCCAGTTCACAACTAAGAGTCTCCATAAGATGGCCAAAACCCAAGCATTAATCAAATTCTGGTTCAGCCAAACATCTAGGGATTAATCAAAAGCATCCTTGATGTGAAGAGGGTTTGAAGGTGCGGGATGGGTAAGGGAGGATGCTACAAGCAGCACTCGTCACTAACAAGGAGTTGGTGTTAATTCCTTTACCCAAGCTCCCTTTTGACCTTAAAGCTTTCAGGCTTCAGACCCAAAGCTACCCTAAAAGCCCTGGGGGAGGAGAGGGAGGGAATTTTAGCCTTCACCAACCTGCTCTCCCCAGTAGAGTTGGAGCACAGAAACCAGCCTGGTGCATGGAGAAGATCCCACAGTTTTGTTTTCAGCCAGGTACTATCCAGCTTGGAGAAGTGTGTATATTTATGTATATATATGTGTATATATATATACACACACACTAAAAATGGGCCATTGTCACTGATTTACATGTTATTTCCCCCAGAAGGATGGAGGGGGATGGCAGGTGAGCCAGGGAACAGCGATCAGACACATGCAACATGGAAACAGATGAGTTACAAGCCCTTGAATATTGGGGCTTTATAATGGAAATGCTGAGAGACCCTTAACTACGCTACCCGGCGCTACGGGGGCTTCTACAATAACTGAGGCAACTCCCTTGAAAGATCAAAAATTAATAGACATTTCAGACAGGGTTTGAGGTTTCGACCACTGCTTTTCAATCGCAAAGACTTTGCTAAAGTTAGAGACTGAGGAGGTCAAGCTTTGGGTAACACAAACATTTCCTCTTTGATTAGGGGGAGACTACTTTACCTTGCCTTTTTTCACTATTTTTTTATATATATTTTTTTTTTATTGAGGAGTAGATTTTAGGTCATCCTTAATTTTTTCCTGACAATAAAGAGCAGGTCATTGACCTACATAGAGAGCTATTTTATTTTTCTCCCTCTCGGTAACAATGGCCAGAACACCTATGTGCCGGGTTCTTCTGTATTCCCATATACTCGGCAATTCACCATGGGGGCAGGACTTAAAACCTTTGAGCCTCTCAGTGACTGGGATAAAAAAAAATTATCTGGGCTTCCTTCCAGCCATTTGAGCTTCAGAATCCATGAGATTTCAACAAAAAGGATATCAGAGCTTTAATCTAGGAGCTTTTTGAAGAGATGGAAAAAAAAAAGTTCCAGTAAAGTTCAGTCTTACCTTCTTCACTTTAGGAGCTGTTCATGCCAACGTCGGCCTATTTAGTAGAGTTCCTCTCCTTGACCTCTTTTTTACAGCGGAGATAATTAACATGGTGGGGTAAGATGAGTCTCTAAATTCACTGCACTCTCTCCCTGGTGCTCTCCCGTTTCCCTCTTAAAGCTGGGATGATTAAAGGAGTCTGCCTTTATTGGCACCCCGAAAAAAATAACACAAAAATAATTGAGGGGGAGAGGAAGAGTCTCAACTCTCCCGGTGGTGCTGGGGGGGGAGAGCAGGCACGGGGCGGTGGGAAGGCACATGGCAGGGATGCAGGATGTAGCTCCCGCCTCCCATCGCAGTACCCGCAGCACAAGGGATGCCGAACGCCAGCTACTGCATTTGTGGAGTCCTCCTTCAGATCTTTCCAAGTGGGAAAAAGCTCTCTGAAAATCCCAGGTTTCCCATGCAGCAAGGGAGAGCCTACCTGAAGAGAAACCCTCCAGGGTTCTCCAGACTTCCATAGTGGAAAGAGGGCTTAGTCAAGGCAAGGAATAAGAAAAGATGTAATCCCTACATCTGTGCAATTTGGGTTTATGGGTGAGTGATGCCCTTGCATATGGTTCTTCAAGGTGTCTCTTCACTCTGGGAGCTGAAACCAGAGTTATCTGCTGGCCCTGAGCCTCCAGCACTCAGGGATGGGAAATAAATGGTGGGATGAGTCATGGACTCACAACCTGGTTTGTGTTGGAAGGGACCTTAAAGCTCATCCAGTTCCAACCCCTGCCACGGGCAGGGACACCTTCCACTGGAGCAGGTTTCTCCAAGCCCCTGTGTCCAACCTGGCCTTGAACACTGCCAGGGATGGGGCAGGAGGAGAGCTGGTGTCCATGAAAAAAGCAATTGGGTAGGGAGTGAACACAAGACTGCCAGCATGGGGACACAGGGCAGGTTTTGCTTAGGGAATGTTAGATGAGGATAGCACACCATGGGAGGCATTAGCAAGAAAACAGGAGCCAAGCAGGAAGGCAGGTACCTAGAAAGGCAATGTGATCAAGAAAGATGGGCTCCCAAATGTCAGGGAGATGGGCACTGACCTGCCATTGGTGGACCTGACCCATGGGCACCCTCCAGCTATTCCAGCACCTGCCTGGACACACTGCCCTTTTGGCTATGGGAAATAAGCGTTACTACAAATGATAAGAGATCACAGATTGTAAAAGCCAGCACTTAGCATCATCTAGTGCTAAATCTCATCCTCTGCTCTGATCAGCACTGCTAAGATACAAAACCCAGGTGTTGGGAACCATCATTTTGGAAACTCATCCTCCCCCCCCCCCGAGGAAGATCAGCTCTTTAATGGATCTTGAACAAGAAATAAAGAGCCAGAAAGGGACACAAAGCACTACCCAAGGCCCGACCCTGCTTTTTGAAGAAGCTGCTCCCCAGGTTGGTGTGACAAAATGAGGGCTCGTACAAATGAGTACCCACAGCTCACAAAGTTTTGGCAAGTAGGCGGTAATGCAGGGGGTGGTGCTCCAGGTCCCCCACACTGGCACAGCATTGCTGAGGCTCACCAGCAGGCTTGCAGTGCTCCACATTTCATCTTTTAAAGAAAACCAGGCTTCCTTCTTGTAGGGAATTAATAAGGATAATCCCTGCATTAGAGAAGGCCGGGGTTTTCCCCCAAGTGGGATCAATCCTGCAATAAATCACAGAAAGATGGAGAGATCATCACTTGAATACTATGAAAAACAACCAAGTGAAGGATGGGAAAACCCCACTCCAGCTCCAGGGAGGGGGAAGTAAAAGGAACAGGGGATTTTTCCACAGGAATACTGGGGGCTTGAGCAGGTTTTGGGGATAGGGATTCTCCTCCAGCCTCCGCTGCCCCAACCTCCTGCTCCTCCTGCTGGTTATTCATCACAGCCCGTTTCAAGTTAAATCCTGCTTTCCGAAACAGAGCATTTTTCATCCCAAATGGAGCAGGATGCTGGGACCCTTGACCCAGCAACATCAGGCAAGACATGCCCATCTCAGAGCAGGGGATGGCAATGGGCACGTCCTGCCTGACACTGCACTGATGTCTGCTCTGACTCTATTGAGGAGTGAGGAAGGAAAATAAACCCCAAAACATTTTATCCCATTTATTTGAGCTAGGACCCCAGCACAAGGCAAACCTATACTACTAATACCAGACACTAACAGCACAAATCAGTGTGACTTTAAGCTAATGAGTGACTTGCCCAAGCAAGGGAGACATTGAGGTGTGTTACCCATCACCTGCAAATGAGTTAGGAAGGGTTTAGAAGGGACTTTAAACAAGTCAGAATTAGCTCTGTGTGAGTGGCTCATTGAAGGTATTGCTGCCACCAGCAAGCTGCTCGGCCAGGTTGATGGTACCCAGATGGATGGAAAACAAACTGGTTTGCTTTGCCACTCTGTGCCTGAGTTTCTGCTACACTAAACCTGTGGCTTCTTACCATATTCCCAGAAAACTGGAGAGAAGCCCTCAAAAAAGCATCAAACAATTGCTGGGATTTGAGTCTAAGCTGATAGCGAATAATGGGGTGTTAACAGGAAATAAACAAGAAGCCAGAGTCACTGGTGATGTGTTAACCATATGAGTGCATAAACAGAGATTAGAGGCTAAAATAAGAGCATATTGCCAACAACCATGAATGGTATCTACCCAGCACCTGCTGATGCCCCATGCATCCAAACAGAAGGCACATGCTCCACACAGGGGCCCCCCATTTCTGTTAACTAGAAGACATCACCCCATATTTATAGCCCCTTACTAACATTCTGTTTTTGCATAGGGAAGAGTATCCAGGGCAGAAAACTCAGCATCAGCTGACTTGGGTTTCTTCCAACAAGTTAGCCATTGAAGCTGATAACCAGAAAGAATAACCCTTCAGCAAGACAGCATGTGGGAAGGATGGCATTTCCACTCTGGTATCTCTGAAAGGATATTTGAGATGTCCAACATTCCACTCTCCGTAAGGGAAAACCCCATGGCAATGGGAGGATGCTTGGCGGAGGGGCTAGGCACAGCTCTTGCTTTCCCAGGCAACCCATGACATGCCAACCTTTACCTGAAATAAAGGGCAGGGGAATATTCCAGGGAATATTCCAATATTCCCTCTGTCTTACCTATGCAGATGTAACTCTTCAGCCTGGGCACTCTGCATACACAGCATGTGCCAAAACCAATGTGGTACCTGAGCTCCGGGTCTAGGGCAGAGCCACTTTGTGCCAGCCAAGCTTTACCAACCAGCAGCATCCAGCAAGCACCAAAAAGGCCTCAGTGGGACAAGCCATTGCTCAAGAAAGGGAGTCAACCTGGGTTAGGGTAAAAAGGGAATTGTAAAGTAAGGATCTGAGGATCTGGGGGCTGGCACAACCCCACACTCAGTCCGCAGCACAGTGGTGAGGTGCACGGTGGGCTGGGAGCGATGCACCTATAAAAGCTGCAGAAGCAGCCTCTCCCCACACATCCTGCAGGAGACGTTTTTCCTGGCAAAGTCAGGCTTGATACACATGGGAAAAACAGCCCAAAGAGGTATTTGCAGATCCCACACCACCAAAGACAGTGAATGTCCCACCAGCTCCTGTCAAACCTTAGGGGAGTGGTGCTGTGGGTCCAGAAAGTTTCAAGGAGATAATGTTATTAATAATACTATTACTAATAGTAATGTTATTATTTTCCCCATATATATTAGCTTTCATCTGGGCCAGGAAAAACAAGCTGGCGCTATCCTTCCTCCCTGGGGCTCCTCTTCCTTCCCATCCCTCCTACTGGAGGGATCAGGCTGGGACTCTGCTCCCCAGCAGTTCCCCCTCATTTTGATCCTGTATCAGCTCAGAACCTCACCTATGCTCTGACACCTGAGCTAAAAGTGTATTGGAGTAAAGGTCAACAGGCGTGGGGCTCGATGCTGGTACCCCCACCAGTCCCCATACAGCCACTGCTGAGACTTCCTGAGGGTCTGCTCTTCCCACCTCCCTGGCAGCATCCCTTGGGAAACACAAGACATTTTCAAGGTCTCCCTTGGACAGCATGTAGATCTGCCCCCTCCCTCCAAACAATACCTCCTCCATGCTGCAGCGGTGAGCTCAGCCCCATGCACTAACCTAGCCAGTGACATTGAGCTGTGCCAGCCCTGGTTGCTCCCGGCAGGAGATGGAGCAGTCACTCTGATTCATTTAGACTGGCGGATCACATCCATTTACTCACACATATACACTAGAAACCCCAACCCACTGGGACATACCAGGCATCTTTAGCCCCATCCATTGTCAGAAGGATGCAGGCAGGAAGCTCTGATGGGAACCAGTGTTGCCACTCTGCAGCAGGCACAACCCGTCTTTCCAACCACACATGGTGATGTTAGAGAAAAGGAAAGATGGGAGCAGCAAATGGGGACTTGGTTTGCTTACCTTGATTTATAGCTTATGGAGACTGCAGGTGCTGCAACTCCATCATTACTGGGTGCAAACAAGCCAGCAAAACTCATTACCAGAGCCTTAAAGCACCTGTGATGGTGTTTCTTGTCAGGACAGTCAGAAAACACAATCCTTAAGTCCTCCATGGGGTAGGAGCCCAACACTGGAGTTTGGGTGCCTTAACAAGAGAAGAATAACCCGTTTTTATACACAAACAACCCCACACTGAGCTCTTCTGCTGCAGAGCGGGGTTACCAAGGATTCAGCTCTGTTCCAAGCACAGATTATTAAGGTGGAGGCAGTGGTTTAGGATATTTTCAGCTGAGAGACATGGTGGATGTCAGCCACGGGGTGGGATTGTGTAGATCATCTCCATAACACCCCAAGGTTGCACCCATGCAGGGACATGAAACAGCACCCAACAGGACAATGGCACAAAGGAGCCCATCACCCTGTGTGTCCCCATCATGGCTGGAAGCATCCCACACCCCACACCAGCCAGGTCAGACCCAGCTAGCATGGCTTAGTTGTGCTCCAGCACTGCCCAGCCACTGGCACAGCCGGGTCAGGCATCACTGCTCACTGGTGGGACCCTACTGGGTCAAGATGGTCAAAGAGACCCCCCCCTGCAGTCCTGATCCAGCTCTGGGGCAACAGCACAAGAGGGACGTGGAGCTGTTGGAGCGAGTCCAGAGGAGGCCATGGAGATGCTGTGAGGGCTGGAGCAGCTCTGCTCTGGAGCCAGGCTGGGAGAGCTGGGCTGGCTCAGCCTGGAGAAGAGAAGGCTCCCTAAGGGGAGACCTTAGAGCAGCTCCAGTGCCTAAAGGGGCTGCAGGAAACCTGGAGAGGGGCTCTGGACAAGGGCCTGTAGGGACAGGACAAGGGGAATGGCTTTAACCTGCCAGAACAGAGGAGACTGAGATGAGCTCTTAGGCAGAAGCTCTTCCCTGTGAGGGTGCTGAGGCGCTGGCACAGGGTGCCCAGAGAAGCTGTGGCTGCCCCATCCCTGGCAGTGTTCAAGGCCAGGTTGGACACAGGGGTTTGGAGCAACCTGCTCTAGTGGAAGGTGTCCCTGCCCATGGCAGGGGTTGGAGCTGGAGGAGCTTTGAGGTCCCTTCCAACCCAAACCATTCTGTGGTTCTGTGAATGATGCTGGTCAAGGGTAAGAGGCAGAGTTGCCCAAACCATCATCACCCACGCTGGTGGGCACCAGGGCACAGGGCCACCCACCCCAGCCTCTGCTGCTCTCTCCCCATATCCCTACCACAATCCCTTTGGGATCCCAGCTCCAGCATGTTCCCCATTCTCCCCCCCCCACTGCCTCCCACCCCATTATCCCTGCTCCATCCCCGCAGTGCGTGCTCCATCTCCTCACCTCTTTGCAGATGTGCCAAGCTCCTCCTGAGACACGGAGCCACCGTCAACCTGCCGAGTGAGGACAGAGGGGAGACAGCTCTGCATGTGGCAGCCAGGCACTGCCTCTGCGACCATGCCTGGCTCTACCTGCGCCACGGGGCACAGGTGGATGCGCTCAGCACGCAGGAGGAGACAGCGCTCAACATCCTCTGTGGGCAGGCGCCGAGCGCCGAGGGATCCCTGCAGCTCTGCCGGCTCCTGGCTGCCCACGGTGCCGATGTGGATGCCCGGGATGAGGCACGGAGGAGCCCCTTGCACAAAGCATGTGGGGCTGCCAACGCCGGCCTGGCACGTTTCCTCCTGCAGCATAGGGCTGATGTCAACGCCATTGACTACAATGGCATGTCCCCGCTGGGCTGTGTGCTGCAGGGCGCTGCCTTCAAACGGGACCTGCGGCCCCACGTCGTCGTCCAACTGCTGCTCAACCACGGCTCCCAGAAGATATGGCCCCCCGCCTTCGCCAAGGTACCCCCAAAACCAGCCTCCTATGGCCACTCACAATGGGGAGGTTGCAGATGGGGATGAGGGCTTTGGGAAGAGTGGGAGAACTTGGGAGAGCCTCTAGGTCAAGGCAGGGAGATGGGACCATGGCACTGGGTTGGCCGTGCTGCTGGGAATGATGGAAAAGGTCACAACTGTATGGTGTGGCAGCAGGGAAAAGCAGGCAGGAGGCAGCATGGCTGTGAGGGACCAGCAAGGAGGAATTTTCCTGCCTGGGAATGTCAGAGATAGGCTTGGTGCATCAGCCATCAGTTCAGCCACCATACAGCTCTGCGATTCAGTGGTTTTACATCAATAAAGAAAATATTATACTGGCTTTTTATCAAGCCAAAAATGTAAACAAGGAGCAAGGGCCACATCCAGAGAAGTGTCACAGCAAGGCAGATCTTCCCACTGCTTCACACATGGAGAATGATCTCCAAAGCATGCCAGGACAAAACCTACACATGCCTGATACCGACATGGGCCTATCCCAGCCTGGACCATGGTGGGATGGGTGGGACAAGCCCTGTCTGTAGCACGAGGACACTGTCCCCCTCTGGGGCGGGTATCTGTGCCTGACCCCCTCCCATTGCCCATGACTAGGTGCTGAAGTCTTGCGCAGCCGTGCCGGAGGTCATCGAAGTCCTCTTCAATTCCTACTCGCAAATTCCCATCTCCAGGAAGTGGGCTGAGGCCGTGCCGGAGGAGGTGCTTCAGGTGAGGTAGAGCTGCAGGCTTGGCAGGGACAGCAGAGCCCTGAGGAGAGGGTTTTACCCACCAAGAGGTGTTTTACCCACCCAGACTTCACTTGGGTAGGGAAGAAAAGGAAAGGGATAGTCCTCAGAGCACCACCACACACCTGAGTCATCTCAGGGCCTTTGCATCCCTTCAGCTCCATCAACACCAAACCCCCCTGCCCTGCAATAAGATACAGTCCCGGCATCTGGAAGTGAACCTCGATCCAGACCACTGCTCAGGCACCCACAGCACACACTCTGGGTTCTAAAAGCTTGCCCCTAGATGTGCAACAGGTCCGGCCAGTCTGCTATTGTGTGATCTCTGCTGGCTGCCTTGCCCCTACAGGCCTTTGATGACCCTGGGTGCAAGGGAGAATGGCTGCTGAAGTGCAAATGAAGCCCTTCAGCAGGTTCTAGGGGAGGGGGGAAAGGGAGTTTATTCCAAGCTAAGGGAAAAGCTGAGGCTGCACAGAGCAGTGCTTCTTTGTTTCCCCATCTTAGAAACGAGCAGGTCTCTTCTGCACCAGCTCTAAGGCTTTCTGCAGGGATGCTGAGAGCATCCTCCCCAAACAGCCCTTGTGGCGAGGCTGGCTTTCTCCATGTGTGCTTCCACAGGAGCATTCCTCATCCAGCTTTTGCTCGCAGGAGCCACCTCAGCTCAACAGCCCTTTAACATCACCGATGGGTTTCTTACCTCCTCCCCTTAGATCCGCATCTCAGAAGTATCTCTGGCTTATTTGGGAACAAAACCCACCCAATGATGCTCCTATTTCTCCCTCCTCCCCCTTTGCAGCAGCACCAGCTATTCTACGAGTCCCTTTTCCGGCTGGCGGGCACAGTCCGGTGCCTGCAGCATTTGTGCCGCTCCGCCATTCGGGACAAGTTTGGCAGCAAATGCCATTGCCTTATCCCTCTGTTGCCTGTGCCCAAGCCGCTGCGTGATTACCTGCTGCTGGAGCCTGAAGGAGTCGTGCTTTGAAGGGCTGAGAGGAGCCGGCTGAGGTCCACCATCCAGCCCTCCCTCGGTGTAGCGCATCCGCATCCATTTCTGTCATCCTGGTGGAGGAGCAGCGCATCCCGTGATAGATGGTTGTTTGTCAGGGATTTATAACGTAACTAAAAGGTGCTTTCGGCTGTAACTTTGTATAGATTTTTTTTCTTCCCCTAATTGTGCTTTAAATAGATTATAAAGAGTAATAAAATGATTAGTAGCTGTTACAAGCATGCTGCAGATAGGAATAGTACTCATTATAAAGGCTCTCTACAAAGCAGCTGGGCTCCTCAGGTGTGCCAAGGCAAGCACCGCGGCAGATGACTAAAATCAGCCCACGCAGGCATCAAATCCCCTTGGATAATCTCCCCCGTGAGTGACACAAGCAGAACTGAGAGCAGAGGTGCGGTATGGAAGCTGTTAGCAGGATGCAGTATCCAGTGGCACTAACACAGACTGTAAAATAGACCCAAAAATCCACTTTTTAAAGGTAGAATCTACCAAGAGTTGGTCACTCCACACAGGACCCGAGGTGGGGGGTGCCGCAGCCCCCTATTTCTCCCAGTTCCCCACAGTCCAAGGGATGCACCAGCACCTCCTACACCCATTGTGCCCATCGCTGCTCCCAAAGCAGAAGAGTTTGGGCTTTCATTTCACACAGTGACTTGGCAAAAGCTAGCAGGAGGAGCAAAGATCTGTTTTCCCAGACCCCGAGGCTTCCCAAATTGATTCCTGTTGAACCAAAGCAAGTGTGTGCACATGCCCCTCGGAAGAACAGCTGTCCTTGTGCTAGCAGCTCTGCCGCCAAATTGTTCCATGGCTTAATTACACTCACTATTTAAATAGGAGTACACATAAATAAATCAGCCTTTTGCACATTTGGGCTGTGCAGCAGCACCCAACACTGTGATGGGTTATACAGGCGATGCACAGCATGCTGGCAGCATCCCTGACCCAGTGTCCATGGAGCAGGGAGTGTCCAAGTGGGGAGGGAAAGGAAATTCCCCCCCTTCCCAGCTTCCACCTGCTGCTTCCGCAGCTTCCCTCACTCTTTATGTTGTGTACAGACATCACCAAGTTCCCCTGTGTTCCCCATCTTTGGTGCCTGTCCCACACGGGAATGCCCTACAGCAAAGCCCCATGACACATTGAGACCTGGCACTTCATGACTTCAGTGGCTCCTTTACTTTATGGTTTGTTTCAGTGGGGGTAGAACTGAAAGGGATTAAGGGAAAACACATCCTGGCTGAGTCATTGTGTGGCTGAACCAGCCAAATCTAAATGTTGGTGCTTCTAATGAGCCTTTCATCTTTAGTGTAGCCCCCGAGTAGAGAAGAATGACATGTTTTACATCCGTATTGGGCAAGCTTGCATGGAGATAGAGTCCCACCAGGCGATCCCGTCCTCCTCCCAAATCCATGGCCTCGGCTCCCCAGCTGCAGCTACCCATGGAGGGAAAAAATGGACATCAAAGGGTTGGAGGGATGGCGGAGGGGGGGAGGAAAAGACGCCTTGCTGCGGGCAGAAGGGTGGCAGGGGTGTAGGGAAGGATGGAAAAGTAGAGGGAAGGGAACGGAAGGAAGCGGGGTGGTAAACACCACGAACCAGGGTGGGCTGCTGCCCCTCCCCCCCCCCGCTGCCTGCGCGGCGCCCCGGAGCCAGCAGGGGGCGCCCTGGTCTCGGAGGCTGCCGTCGGGGGCGGGAGCCGCCGATACCGCGGGCTGCTGAGGCTCCGCACGGAGCCGGGGGAGCATCGGAAATGGGGAAAAAGGGGGAAAAAAGGGAGGGGAAAAAAGTAAAAAAATCAATAAATTTGATGGGTTTGGGGTTTCCCCCCCCTCCCCACGGTTTGAGCCATTCCGCCGGTGGCCGCGCGGCTCAACTGGGGCTGATAAGTTTGGCAGGCGGGCAAAAGAGCTGGTGGGTATATACACACATACATATGTGTGTATATATATACAAACACGAACAGATATATATATGTCAGGGTTTTTTTCCTCCTGCCGGCACCTTGTTTTGATGCAGATGTTATGGGAATGGATCATTTCCATTCTTTTTCCTTTTTTATTCCAGCAGCTAAAGACGGGAGGTCACATTAACTTATAATACGGAGACACATAAAAATGCGATTATGCCTGCTAAACAGAACACAGTAGGCTGCTAGTTAAGACAATGAGATTTCCAGGAATCGATGCATAAATTCTTCCCAAAAATGACACATTTTTCACGTTTCATTCCAATTAAATTACTGAGGCAGCGAACACACCATACATTTGGGTGAAATGAAGGGGTTTCGGTGCTTTTTTTCTTCTCGAAGTCTATCCGGATGCGCGTGTTTTATGAAAGGCGGTTAATATTAAGCTTCTATTAAGGAAAAAAATGTCAGAGACCTTCGCTCCTCGCCTTTTCCTTGTGGCGGGGCTGGTCCGTCTCGGTTTTCCACCCTGCAGCAATAAAACCACCGATGGTCCCGGCCGGCAGCGGCTGCAAAATAAGCTCCAAATAATAGGAATTACCCGCCCTGATGCACACACGTCTCTGTTTGCTGGTTAAACAGTCGGGGATGGGGAGAACTAAGGATACCCCCCCCCCCCCCAAGAAAGAGGCTTTTCCAGCCCGTCGGGTGTTTCCCGACCCGGGCTCCCTCCGAAGCCGCAGCCGGAACCCCCGGAGAGGCTGCGGGATGAAGTAATGGGGTGTTTTGATGGGGGGGGGGGGGGAAGTGTTGTGATCCCGATGGGAATTGCTTGCTCCCCACCACCTTCTCAACGGCTGCAAAAGGGGCTCATCAGGGTGGTAATCAAGCCCCGAAGTGGTGGCCCCGGTAATGAAGCCGCATTTGATTTTATGACGGTTTTATTTTCCGAAGCAGAGCGAGGCAGCGCGCAGGCTGCGCTGAGGCGGGTGATCCGCAAAGCAATCCCAACCCGAAATGAGATTTCGCCTTCTATTTTTTTTTTCTCCCCTCTTGTAGTCCTAATGAACCTGATTGCAGGAACATTTATAATCCCCCATGGCTTTAAATGAAATCAGATATAATCAGGAGCTATGGGGAAAGGGAGTGTTTACAGGCAGAGATTGGGAAGTGCTGCTGTATTAGTAAAGATGCTGTTCCTTCTATTGATGTCTAAAATGATGGATAATGTGAGAATGGCAAATATACTATTTGTCTAATGGCTCTGCAATTAAATTCCCCTGTAAATGACCCATGCCTCATTTCATCCTAATCTATGGAATTTTGATTGAATTCGTCAGCTCTAATTGAAAAATACTGCACTTTAATGTCTGCAGTGCAGTTTCAGGACCGCGCTGATTTTAATGAGACGGTGCCCCTCTGACCTGGGAATATTTGAGACTTTTAGTCGGGATTTTTTTAAACTGCCGGATTTCTCCACGATCTTCCCGGGAAAACCGTGCCTGGGAGCGCGTGTGGCTTTCCCACCGCTAGAGAGAACCTCTCCGTAGCGATGCGGTTTGTTCAGCGTCTCCTTTGGTCTTCTTAAAACATTTGGACTCGGGTTATTTAAATACATATCAATTAAAGGGGGGGGGGGATATATAAAGAGAAAAATCGCCCATTTTCCCATCATCCGAACGAATATCGGGATAGGAATCGGGATTACGAAAGCCAAACGTCTTTTCTTTACCCCGCACGGCGTTATTTTTACCCTTTTAGCCTATTTTTCCCATCCCGAAAATAAATCCCGAGAACCTTCGAGTTTGTTCCCCAAAAAACGAAAGAGACAAACCCCACAAACAGGGGGAAATACAACAAAAAAGATGAAAAGGAATTAAACCAACAAACCCGCGCAGCGCATCAACAGTGCGGGGAGGAGACCCCCCCCTTAGGAGCGACGGGGGGGGGGGGCAGTCCCAGCTCCCCGCGGGGCCGCGCTCCCAGTTCAAACGGGAACACGGGAAGCAGTTAATGGGATTAAGCGACCAATGATGGAGGTGGTGGGGGGGGGGGGGGGGGGGGTATCGGTTTGTTTTGGTTTTTCTCTTCCCCTGCTTGGAATCCGAAGGGGGAGGCGGGAGAGGCTTTCCCGGGTCTGTGGTTCACACCCCTCGGCTCTCAGCCTTTGCCAGTGGCCAAATCCTCCTTCCCCAATCCCCATCCCGCCTACTCCCAGCTCCTGCAAGCCCCAACACACTGAAATAAACCCACGGCCACGCACAGAACAGCCTCCCCACTGCAGGGGTGACACAGGTAGACGATGGAGAGCCCCGGCTGCACCCCTTATTTTAATGTTGAGCGCTCACACCTAATCCCTGCAGCATTAAGTACACGCTGATTGCGGGGGGAAAGGGTAGTTTTGCTGACAGTCTCCCCTCTTACATACCCCTTCCCTAGGAAAATCACTTTAAAAACATAAAGGCACAGTAGGGTGAGATGCTTTTGGTGACGTTTCCCATGCAATTAAAATGTTCCCAGCGAAGGCAGAGTGTCTTCGAAAAACGAGCTCGCCAGGATCTCCATAAACCTGAGTTTTGCCTCTGATAAAGTCATTTGGTTTATCATCCTTTACAAAATAAAGCTCATTCATCTCCCCACCCCTCCTCAATGGCCCAGCAGCAGAGTGGACCCTGCTCCAAATGGTACACCCCCAAATAGCTGGTGGGAGGATGGATATGAGCCTTTGTATCCCACATGGAAACCCACAGCACAGCTCCCTGCAAACAAGCTGGAGGTGCCCAAAGGGCCAGAAGCAGCCATCAGCCCCCAGGTAGGTGGAAGGGATGCTCTGACCTCTGCCACCCCACAGACTTGCACCTGGCTCAAGAACCTCCAGGTTTTCCTCTTGCTTCCTGGCTCCCGTTTCACTTCCCTTCAAAGAGCTGTGTCTCCCTCCCTACACGGATGTGGGGGACAGTCTCTCTAGCACACCCAGTCACAGACATCCCCACCAAAACCTGCCCAGTTCAAGGATGCCTCCACATATCTGATGCTCCTTTTCTGGGGAGGTTATTTTGGGGAAGAAGCTGCCAGGAGCCACCTGCTCTTCGGCAGCCCCTATGTGAGTGATGCATGAGCCTCCCCAAGCAGCATTTGGTACCATGTTTCAAGCTGGAGCCACGCAGAACCAGGTCTGCACCTATGTGCGGCCCAGCCAGGGGCCTTCCCCCAGCTCCCAACCAAGCATGACCCTCCAAAGTTGTGATTTCTGCCATATAATCAGAGTTAGACCTGCTGGGAAAGGCTCTTCCCATGTCCCAGCCGCGGCAGGGGTCCCTCCATGGGGCTCCCCTGTTTGCCCTTCACCTCCCTCCCGCCTGTTACACTTCCCAGGCACAATCACGCCGCGACAATCAGGAGATCGCCGACGTTTTTCTCTGGGAGAAAAATCAGCTAATTATGTGCCGAACAAAAAGCCCATTCTCGCCTGCAATAATGCTCCCGTCTTGCAAAGGCACTTGTTTGTGGGCAAATTTTGAAGAGGGCTGACAATAAAAACAGCTGCAGGAGCTGGGTGTTGGTACACATTTCCATGCCCTGCCACATTACCATGCCTAATTATCTCCCCTTCCCGCAACCAAAGGCAGTTTCCTGAAGAGAGATGATTTTTGTTTCCCCCTCCTCTCTTTTCTATTGAAACGAAAGCTTTGCTTCTCGGCAAGGATTTCCAGCCTGCTCTGGCTGGATTTGGAAGGAGTGGGGATGCTGCTGATTTGGGGGGCTGGAGGGTTTAGCTCGCCTCCATCTGCCATGGTGGGAGGCAAAAGAAGAGCTGCGATCGGAGGATGCCTGCTGCTGGGTCACAGGGACGGGGTGGAAGGGAATAAATACCAGATAGAAACAACCACACGTGTGGCTATGAAGCATCTACAGGGGAGATCGAAGCCTTGCCAGCGCAGTGCTGGGAGCAATCCCGAGCACTGCATCACCGCACATATGGTGGCCTCCGCGAGACGGAGCCGGGACATATGGAAATGAGCTGTATAAGTAAACTTTTCCCAGTCCCTTGAAGTCAGAGATGGGCCCCAAAAGTGTGTGTGTGCACACATCCCCAGCAGCAGCTGCATCCGTGGACGCCAACCCCGTCTCCTTTGCCACATAGCCAGGAAAAAGTGTTTCTCCAGCAGAAACGCAGTGTTGGGGAGGGAAAAATCCCTAAATCCATTCCTTGGGTGACCAGTGGGTTTGGTACCCCCAAAAGCTGCGTTAAGCCAGATATGGGGACTCAGATGCAGGACCGGCTGGTGAAACTGCACCGAGGGCCAAAAGCAATGACCCCCTCACTAATCGTTTCTGCCAAGAAAAGAATGGTTTCAGATGCTGGCTGGAAGTGGATAAACTGACCCAGATATCCAGGCGTAGGGTGGGGGGCAGCCCCTCTTTTGGGGACACCACCAGGCTTCAGTGGTGGGAATGGGTTTGGAGGGGGGGGCTGCAAATGGGACTTGCTAAGGGCTGGGTGGGAGGTTGTGATAAACCTCCCCCCCCCCCCAAGACAAAACCCAACTGGCATGTTTAGGGTGGGTAAAGCCTCTGCTGCTTTGAAAGGGAGGGTCCCTTGGGCCATGCAGCCAATGCTGGAGGGACCACCTTCACCCCTTGCCTTGTCCCCATGTGCCCCATGGGGTTTGGGGGGCATGGAGGGTGGGATTTGGGGGAGAGAGTGTGGCTGTCCTTATCCTTAGCTGCTGGGGGGTGTCACCTTCCTCATAGGGTGTGCAGCCCCCCCAGCCTCACATCTGCCATTCTCCCCTGGAAAAACATTGGCATCAATTAGCCAGAAACCAGCACTGGGCCATTAGGAGCTCCCAGCCAGGCAGGATCAGGATCTGCCGCTGCCCCTTTCTTCTGGGGGATGCCCCCCTGAGCCAGAAACCACTTAGAGTCGCGGTTGCACCCCAAAACCTTCAAAACTAAGCTCAGAGGCGCAGCCAACACCATTGTCCCGGGAATGCTTCAACTTCCCAAAGGCAGGAGGGATCCCACCTCCAGCCAGCTCCAAACCACCCCTTCTTTTCCCCCCTCCTTCTCCTCTCTCTTTTTGCATTTAATTTTATTTTCCAAACCACTTGATCTTTGCTTGGGAACCTCCATTAATTGCCTGGGTTTGCCTCTTCGCCTGGTCCCTTTATCATTATTTATGGCCTTTGAAATGGTGTAAAGTTCCCTTGACGTTCAATTTACAAGTTTAGGGGCTTTTATATTTTCCTTCCCCCCCCATCCCCCCCTTTTTTTTGTCCCAGCTTTTGTCCTCGCCAAAGACATCGTGTTGGAAAAGGCTTTGAGCCGGCCAACATGAGAGGCTCGCCGGAGAAAAGGGAGCAGCCCTCCATCGCTTTTAATTCCGCCGTGTTGCTGAATGGCTCTTTTACATAATTGCAGAAGCAATTTCAAAGCCAAGCCAAGGGGCTGACTTTACCCAGAACCACATGGAGCCTATTTGGGGGCTTTTAAAGGGGAAAAAAAAAAATGGGGGGGGGTGGGGGGAGGGAGAGAAAAGCGTGAATAAAATAGGGGGTTTTGTCAAAAATAAAATAAAAAGGGGGTTTTCAATGCTTTTGGAGGCATCAAATTGGTGTGTCCGATGGGCATGAGTGTCACACGCCCCGACGGAGCGGGGGGGACCCCACTGCGGCCCCGACGGCACCGCGGGTTCCCGGTGTGCCCGCGGCCGCTCACGCGTGGACCGCCCCGTCCCGTCCAGCGGCCGCGGTGCTGCTGCGCGGTGGGGGGGGCTGTGTGAACAGAGGAGGCGCTAGGGGCGTGTCCTCCCCTTTACGCCCCGCCCCTCCGCCCTCCCGCCCAATGGCAGGCGGCGGCGGCGGCCACGTGGGGCGGGCAGGGTTCCCAGCCGGGCAAAATGTGAATGGGCGCGGGGGAGCGCGGGCGGGCAGAGCGGTGCGGTGGTGGCGGCGGCGGGCGGGCTCCGCGGGGGCGCACGCGGCGGCGGGCGGGGGCCAGCCCCGATGTGCGGGCGGCGGCGGCGGGCGGCGGCCCCGCTCCGCCCCGGCGCTGCCCGGGCGCTGCCCCACGCGTGAGCGCGGCCCCGAGGAGGAGCAGCGGCCGCGGCGGCAGCAGCAGGAGGAAGAGGAGGAGGAGGAGGAGGAGGAAGGAGGTCGCTCCCGCCGCCGCTCCGGCATGAGCGCGGCTTTCCAGCCCTCGCTGATGATGATGCAGCGCCCGCTGGGAAGCAGCACGGCCTTCAGCATCGACTCGCTCATCGGCAGCCCCCCGCCGCCCGCCCCCGGCCACTTCGTCTACACCGGCTACCCCATGTTCATGCCCTACCGGCCCGTGGTGCTGCCGCCGCCCCCCCCGCCGCCCCCGGCGCTACCGCAGGGCGCACTCCAGCCGGCGCTGCCCCCCGCGCATCCCCACCACCACCAGCTCCCCAGCCTGCCCACGGGTTTCTGCTCCAGCCTGGCCCAGGGCATGGCCCTCACCTCCACCCTCATGGCCACGCTGCCCGGCACCTTCCCCGCCTCTCCCCAGCACCAAGAGGCCGCCAGGAAGTTCGCACCCCCGGGGAACTTCGATAAAGCCGAGGGGATCCCCCCGGACGGCGGCGGCGACGATGGCAAAGCCTTCCTGGGGAAGGACGGAGCCCTCCTGCCGTTCCCCGCCGCCGACGCCGTCCAGGCCTCCCTCGGTGAGTGAGCGCCGGCACCGGCTGGGCAAGAGAGGGGGGGATCGGGGTCCCACCGTCCTCTCCGCGCAGCATCCCCCGGCGGGGCTGGCTGGGAGGGGGTGGTGGCATGGGGCAGCTCCAGAGAAGGGAGACACCCTTGGGGGAAAGGAGGGCTGGTGGCGGGGGTGTCCACAAGGCCAAGGAGAAGGGAGGAGGAGGAGAAGGGAGGTTTCAAGTCCCCACCGCTTGAAATAACAGAAATCAAACAAATCCAACCGAAAGCCGCGAAAAAAGAAACCCAAAGTGAAAAATTTTAGGGCGATTGCTGGACCTGTGGCCCGGGCGGCACGGTGGCCACGGGACAGAGGGTACCGAATACTAACGAAAGGCCTCTGCTTCGCTTTCAGCCGGGGCTCTCCGGGGCCAGGGGAAGGAGGACCCCAAAGCAGAAGAGGATGCAAAAGGCAAGGAGGAAAGTTTCTCCATGGACAGCGATCTAGACTATAGCTCGGATGACAACATCCCCGGCCAGGCGGCTCACAAGGAAGAGGACTCTGGCAACACGCTGGAGGAAAACCCCCAAAACCCCCCCAATTCCACCAACACCACATCCACGGGCAAAAACCGGCGGAGGCGGACAGCCTTCACCAGCGAGCAGCTGCTGGAGCTGGAGAAGGAGTTTCACTGCAAAAAGTACTTGTCCCTGACGGAGAGGTCCCAGATCGCTCACGCCCTCAAACTCAGCGAGGTGCAGGTGAAAATCTGGTTCCAGAACAGACGGGCTAAATGGAAACGGGTCAAGGCGGGCAACGCCAACTCCAAGACAGGGGAGCCCTCCCGAAACCCTAAGATCGTGGTCCCCATCCCGGTGCACGTCAGCAGGTTTGCGATCAGGAGTCAGCATCAGCAGCTGGAGCAAGCCCGACCCTGATCTCTCCCTGCGCTGCTTCAGAGCCACAAGTTTTTGAGGGAAAACTTTCCAAAAATTGGGGTTTCAAAACAACCCACCCGAAAAAAAAGAAAGAAAAAAAATAACGAAAAATAAGACAAAAAGCAGCAGCAGAAAAATAACCACAAACCAACACAACCCCTAAAGCAAACGACAACCAACGAGATGAAATCCCATGCGACGACGTCGCAAATCCCCACCACGAGTGAACTTTAAAGCCAAACTTACAGAGTCAAGCGAGAGCCTGAGAAGGCAGAGACTTGGGAGCTGCGTTGGTCCGGAGCAGGAATATCAAACCCTGGGAAGAGACGCACACGTATTTATTAGCACGCTGCCCCGTTGCTGTCTTGGCCGCGATGGGGACCACAGACGCGGTGTCGGCGCCGGATCCAGCAGCGTGCTCCCCCCTCGTCCTCACCGGCGGCGATATCCCCAGCGAAACCTGCCTTTAGCCACCCTTTGAGGGTTCTGTTTCTTACCGGGGGCGAAAGGTAAAAATAACCCAAAACAAACAAAGACGAGAGAACAAAACCGAAAGAGAACCAAGAGTTTCATTTCATGCCTTTTTTTATTGTTTGATTTGATGGCCGAGGGCTCAGCGGCAGGCACTGGGGGACGGGTTTTGAAATCTATTTTTTGCCTGGCTTTCTGTCGATTTGGTTTGCCTATTCTACTAAGCCATGTTTAAAAAAAGAGAGAGAAAGAGGGGAGGGCGGGGGGGGTGGGAGAAAAATAGCACGATCTTCTCTATTGTGTTTAATTTATTTCAATGTAGCTTATTTCCTTATAAGTTATGAAATTTAAAAGCAAACTAAGTCTTGTGAATAAAAACCGACAAAGAAACAAGAGACAAAAAAGAAACCCTCCATCCCCCGGTTGTTCTGTCCAGGAGCTGCCGTGGAGCTGATTTTCTTTCCCCCTCCTGCGCTGCCAGAGCGGACCGATGCTCCTCTCGCCTTATTACAGCGAAGCCGCATTTAATGTCGGGGAGGGGGGGAAATGGAGAAAAAAGTTTCCCTTGTGAAAACGGGGAAAAAAAAGCTTTTTGTGCAAATAAACGGGGAGGAGGCAGGAGCACCCCTCATAACCCCCCCCCCCCGGCATTCCCTATCTCCATGTTTTGGGGGTGCAGCCGCTGGTGTTGCCCCACTGTCACCCCCCCCTTTAACGGGGTCGGGACGCTGCAGCCCGGGAGCTGTGATGGGGGCGTCCCGCGTGTGTCTCCTCGTTTCCCCCCTCTGCATCCTTTTAATCCCGTTTTCTTGTCCGTTTTACACATCCCGTGCCGGTGAAACCGTTCCGCGGCGGCGGCTATTTGGGATGCAAAAGCATTAATTTCCCGAGGAAAACGGGGTGCGGGGGAGAGCCTTGAAATTAAACTAAAGGGATAGGGGCAACCAAGGGAGCGATTCGCTCCCGAGGTAACGGTGAGGCTCCCGGGGCAGGCTGCGGCGGGTACACCGAGACTCGGCGGTGGTCACATCAGTCACAGCCCTTGCGCTTCATCATCTATTTATTAGCGTTATTGTCGTTATTATTATCACTGTTATTTTGAGGGGCCGGGTTCGGAGGGGCTGGAGGAGGCTCCGGGGGGGTTGGAGGTGGGGGGGGTTTGGGGGTGTCCCCTCTCCCACCAGCCGCTCCTCCGAAACCAAACCCTGCTCCTTTAGATCGTTTAAAAGATATTATTAATAATAATGATAATAATAAAGATAATTTTCGGATTCGTTTCTGCGCGGGAGGGAGCGGGAAGCCGGGACACGCTTGAGGCGACCCGGCCCCCCGCCCCAGTCCTTTCCTGACGGGTTTTCCCAACGCTGCTCCTCTTCGGATCGCGCTTTCCTTTCGCTATTATTAAGTGTTTTAATGTATTTGGCTTTGCTTCTGGTGCAAACGGGATGCTCGTGGAAGCGCAACTACCCCGGCACCGACTCGGGCAGGCGGCAGCCCGGCTGTACCCCCCTCCCACTGGGCTATGTGGGGTGTCGTATTTTAGGGAGGAGCAGCTGCTCCTCACCCCCGTGTCCCCCCATCCACCCCACCGCGGGGCATCCCTCCCTCTACATCTGCCCTAGGCACGGGAAAGTTATTTGCTCCGCGGGCTGGGGTCCCCCCATTGCAATCCCCACCTCCCCCCCGTACACAGGCTTTGGGGCTGGAAGGGGGGAGCCCCCGGGCCGGGGGGCCGGAGGAGAAGGAGATAAACAAGCGAGGGGGTTGATAGCTGTCATCATCACCATCATCATGGCTTTCATTTGGCTGCCTAATGAGTCAGATCAGAGGCAGAGAGAAAAATTGTCAATCGCCCGGGCTCTAATGAATTTTTTTGCAAATTGTAATCAAGCCAGGCCGTCTCAGCTCGCTGATTAATGAGACCCAGGAGGCCCGGCCAGCACCTCAGCTTTTTATTCCATCCCGTCCTCCCTGCACTAAATTAACAGCAACTTGTCTGAGCTTCAAATTAACTCCCAATGATTAATCCTGATGGGGGGGTCTGAAGAATAGCTCGTCCTAATAGGCACTGGCCTCTGATGCTGTTTGAAATTAATACACTTCCCCTTTGGCTGCCGGCTTTAATCCAAGGTTGGGCTTTGACATCACTATATTTGTTGTTACAATAAATTCCTCTTACATCTGCAGATCAAATAATTGCACTGCTCGGGGAGCGCAGCACAAACGCCGGCCCGCTTTGCGGCAGCCCAAAGTGGGAGAGGAAGGGGAGCTGCCCGCTCCTCGCCTCCAGCCTGCCTTAGGAAAACCCCTTTTATATAGACACGTATAACATAGACATTTATAGGGATATTTTATATATACACACAGATAATCTTTAAGGCACCTCTGCTCGGCAGCGCTGGGATGTGCCCGGAGGGGGCAACCCCTCTCAGGCCAAGCAAGGAGCGTGCTGCCTCCCTCTTTAAATAAGACATCATGGTTTTAAATACATTCCCCCCACGCCTTACCCCCTCGCTGCAGCGACCCAGCAAACTCACCGCATGCCGGGGCTGCCACAGAGACCAGATGAAGTCAGTGCATGCCAGAGCAGCGGATGAGGGACGAGTCCTACTTCCTGAGAAAGGAGGGAGTAGCTTCTGCCTTGTTTTTATTTGTATTGATTTAATTGGTTTAATGATTTCAGCTGGGACTGGGCAGGCTCAGCTTAGTGCCTTTTATCTGCCCCTATTGCCCCGGGGCATGCACCGACAAGGACCCCTTTGTGCCTGGGTGGAAGGCACAAATAACCCCTCCATCGGGGTTATCCTCTGTGATAGAGGGGGTCTCCCTTCCAAGCACCCCCCCTGAGGGGGGCCACCCCTAATATCTGGAGGCAGGGCTGAGGGAATCTGTCCCCCTGCTGGGAATAGCCCCTGCCCAAGGGCTGGGCATCTTCCCCATTTCCCAACGGGTGCACGTTACCCCCTGCAATAGACACGCACCCCTTGGGGCTCTCTGTCCTGCAGGATCACACCCCCCCCATCCCTGCACATGCTTCCACAGGGCCATATCAATCTTCATCGGCGAAGAGGAGAGCGATGAGGCCGGTAAGCGGCCGCCAATGCAAATTCCCACCGTCACTGTCATAAAGCACCCGGCACCCTGACACAGAAAAGCAACACCATATGTACGAAGACAACCTGTATGAATTATAAATTACATCATAAAAATTGATTGCCTATCCCAACCCTTCGGAAACACACACGGTGGTGCTGGTGGTGGAGAAATTCCAGCCCCCCAACACAGGCAGAAACCCACCCTGTGTACCAACTGGCTGCCCCAGGGCAGGAGGGGATGCAGGAGGGGATGCTGATGCTCTGCCAAGCCACCCTGCATCCCCCATGGGTGCGAGGTCCCTTCCCGTCCCCCTCCTCCCGCCGCTGTGGGATGCTTGCCCGCCCCTTGCTTGCTCTTTTCTCCCTCCTGCTATGCGGGGCCCATAGAGAGCCTTAATCTATTTATTTCAAGCCACTTCATCCTCTCTCCCGCTTTTGTCCCGGCCCCAGCCTCTGGCTTTGTGGCAGGACCGCTGAGGTTTTAAAAGCCCCTTCCCCTATAGTTTGAGGTCTCCTTGGCTGCCTGAATTACAATGGCTAAAACAGGATTACACTGACCTGATCCTATTAAACTCGCCAATCGATCTGTGCCGCCCTCCCTCCAGCTCGGCAAACTTACTCGCCCAACTTTCCCCAGGGCTCAGCCTGGGAAGGGGAGAAGCAGAAGGCTGCCTTCCCAGCAGGCCTGATGGAGGAAGGATGGATGGAGGCGATTTACTGTGGGGTTTTGGAGCCATGTGGGTTTTAAATCTCTGCTTTAGCTCCCAGCATCTCTGTCCCAAAGGAGAACGCAGTGTTTTCCCTGTCTTGCAGGTGCACTGATTCCCAGCCCCGGTGGGAGATTAAGTCATATCGACGCATCTTGCAGAAAGGTATTTTAGCTACGAGCAAAACAATTCTCCCTCTCTTTGGTAAGGGCAAACCCGAAGCTGCCTGCTTTGGGGCATGCAGGCTCATGGTCCTCCTACGAACCACCAAGGAGGAAGAAACCCCCTAGGAATAAACAGCCTCATCCCCTTGCCGCGATGCTGAGCATGCCAGATCGGAGCCTGACAGAGCCAGTCCTTCCTCCCTTTCACTTACAAAAGGAGTGGAAGAAAAGCAGTGTGGATCCAGCTTCATGTTCTCCACAGCGGGTAATGAGACATCGGGTTGGTGGTGTTCTCATGTGGCAGGGGATGCTCTGCGTTGCTCAGTGCTGGGGCATGGCACCATCTGCAGAGGAACGGGCACCTGGAATTAATCCCCTGCCATCCCCTGGGAAAATCGTTACAAGGCAGGGGAATAATGTGGGAATGGCAGTAAAACACGGGGTGTTTACGCTGACCTGCCAGGATGACGGAATGAGTGGCAAGGGGCCTGGATGAGTGGCAAAGGGCCTATCGCCGACTCCGAGGGAGCACTTTCAATGCTCGAATCCTATTAATTAACAGAGCAAAAGACAAACTGAGGACTCCCATTTATAATTTTCTAGGAGCGTGT